ATCTCGCCTCCCACTTATCGCTTTGCAAGATGTACGGATTAGAGTTTAGGGCTAGGGTTCAGGACCATTGTGGGTACTTTGGATTTCAGGTCTAGGGTTTAGGGCTCTCACCGGAAAAGCAACGGTTGGCTCAGTGTCTTTCACAACATTTTTTCTCACTGCACATCAGTCCGCCTGGCCAGAAAACTGAACCTGCTTCCTTGCTTAGGGTTTATAAGGGTTTAGGGTTCTTGCTCCGTCATTGAAGAGCAGGGGAAGGCCTGGCCTCTTCAAGGAGCTGTTGTTCGATGCTTCCTGGGTTGCTTCGACAGCCGCCGCGATGAGCTTCTCCACGTTTGCCCTCCGGGTCGGGGCTTCGAGGACATCGATATTTTATGGAAGAAGGAGAGCGTGGGCATGTGCCTGAAGAGCTAGTCAGCTAGTAGTACCAGTAGTATTAATATCAGAGGCATGGCACCCTCAAGACTGCAAGCGAATCCGAAAAAGCCGAAGCCAGCTGGGCTCGCATGTAAGCCCAGTGNNCGCTGGCCTCTTGACACGGATGGGAACCTTCTTGTCCTCGACTGTCGGAAGCGCCTGGAATCCGACTAAATTATATCAATGACATGGCCTTCCAGTCCCGGGACAGTCTCGAAGATCTGTTTAGTCCTCACTATCTTGCCGGGACTCGTCTAGGTCTGGGCATGGAGTTTAGGACTGAATTAGCGCGCAAAGGATGGAGTCGGGTGGCCAGGGTGGACTAACGCCAAACCGATGGAAAGATGTGGGAGAAAGGATGTCGCGCCCATTCGCTGGAATCTATCCTCACAAAGCCAAAGAGAGAACTGAAAGTGCAACTAGAGTGTTTCGAAGGTAAAAAAACAACAGCAACCTCATCGGCCAACGCTGTCAAGAAAGAGTTCGCACTCCCCCTAAACCCTAAATCCTAAACCCTAAATCCTAAAGCCATCACTGCTGTGGGTTTTGCCGGAAGCGAGCCCTCTCTGAAGGCGATGGAAGGCGACATCAACTCAATGTAGGGGCCTTAATAATTAGAACAGGGTTCTGGTGTATATTATGCTGCAATAGGGTTTTGGGGTATATTATACTATAGCTACTATAATAGGGTTTTGGGGTATATTATACCCTTTGTAGAATAAGGAACCCGCAAAATAGTATTGGTAATTCTTTTTAAGCCCAAATTAGGGGGGGCAGGGGGTATCCCAGAACCGAACCGGATTCCTTGAAACCCAGTGCCCCAAACCCCCAACCCTAAACCGCGAACCCCTAAACCCTAAACCCCGAAGCTCTAAACCCCTCAATCCCAAAACCCTAAACCAAACAGTAAACCCCTAACCCCAAAAGGTAACGCGCGCCTTAATGACCATTGGGGTTTTGGCACGGTCCATGGGTGCGTAAGATTGGTACAAACGCTGCAAACGCAGGGTTGCGTGCACTTTTTTGACGACAAGGTTTGTTGTGGATGCTTAGAAGAAAGTACCGTCTTTCACCAGGGTTGTGTGCGTCGAAGCACGAATTCACTGGCCCCAGTGGGAGATTACTAACCTTGCGAATGCGAATTTTGCAGCCGACCTCTTTTTTCACAAATTTATTCTTGTTCTTGGCGTCTGCCAACCGACTGAGGTCCGTCGACAGCTGCTTTGCAGCATTGAAGCGGAGCATAAAGGAAAAGCAATGGTTATAGTGCTGATAATGATGATGATAAATATGATGATGCGAAAGTACCGTTCTTACCAGGGCTTGGTATGTCGAAGCACGATGATGATGAGGATGATGAGGATGATGAGGATGACGACGATGATGATGATGGCCTGCATATT